TATGACATTCGTAATAGATCACTTTCAGAATCTAATTATTTGAAAGAGCACATGGTTAACCACACACCTATAAATGGCAAAAAAGGCAACAATAAATGCAATGTATGTGATAATTATTACATACATTGCATTTATTGTTGCCTTTTTTGCTTTCTTAAGACACTTAAATATTCATCACAATTGCAACTTCACATGATTACTCATAGCACAGAACGCCCTATCAAAAGCAAAATCTGTCATAAGGCGTTCAAAGAAAAAAGCACTTTGACAAGACATAGCTTATTCATACAGGAGAATGCCCTTTCAAATGTAAAATATGCAATCAGACATTCACACGTGGTATGGGTGATTATGTGTGATTTCATATTACCTTGTTTTACAAAAAGGTAATATGAAATCACACATGATCAATCATACCAAAGAGCATCCTTTCAAATGTGAAATATGTAGTAAAACATTCTTACAATCGGGTGACTTGACAAGGCACATGCATATTTATACAGAGGAACGCCCTTTCAAATGTAAAATATGCAATCAGACATTCACACGTGGTATGGGTGATCATGTGTGATTTCATATTACCTTGTTTTACAAAAAGGTAATATGAAATCACACATGATCAATCATACCAAAGAGCATCCTTTCAAATGTGAACTATGTAGTAAAACATTCTTACAATCGGGTGACTTGACAAGGCACATGCATATTTATAGAGAGGAACGACCTTTCAAATGTAAAATATGCAATCAGACATTCACACGTGGTATGGGTGATTATGTGTGATTTCATATTACCTTGTCGTACAAAAAGGTAATCTGAAATCACACATGATCAATCATACCAAAGAGCATCCTTTCAAATGTGAACTATGTAGTAAAACATTCTTACAATCGGGTGACTTGACAAGGCACATGCATATTTATACAGAGGAACTCCCTTTCAAATGTAAAATATGCAATAAGGAGTTTGCACAATCGAACAATTTGAAGAGGCACAAGGTACATAGTGGAAAACGTGATGAAAATCAATGAATTATTAACAAGCAGATACTAACCCTGTAAAATATCTATGAATTATTTATATTTTATTTGCATTGTACATTTAATTACTGCTGTACAAATATATAGTACTATGAATAAATTTATTTAAATATTTTCTTTATATTATGATTTACAGATATTTTTACAAATTTTATTAAATTGCATCTTTTTTATTAAACAGTACTCAGTTGTAATATTTCAAACAAAATAAATTACAATTTTTGATCCATTAATGCCAATTCATACTGATCAAATTTTTTTCTAGCAGAATCCTAAACAGATTTCAATTGGCGGTATATGGCATTGTGTCTTGAGGCAAATTGCTGGAATTGAACATGCTCTGTTTGTACATTTATAATTAATGCATTTTAGGCCTATAAAATATGAACTGTGAAACTCACAGTATATGTTTATAATAATCTATTTGAAAATGCACAAAATTATTATTAATCATAAGTGAAAATCTGGCGCAAAATTAAAAAAATAATAAGGAAAAGATAATAAAATGCTGCAGTTTAACATAACAATTATTGATTTTTAAAATCAGTATCTTTATCGGATAATTAATATTAATATGAAAATATTAAAAAGGTTATGAATTCATAACTTAAAAGTTTTTGTAAATTTAATATTTTTAAAGTTCAAATTTTCAAAAAATTAAAAATTTCATATGTAATTTTACATATGAAAGAACCATATTGGTTCTCAAATTATTTTTAACTTTCCGTAGGGTAAGTTATTGTAATCGTCCAAAAATCGAAAATTTTTGCATTTCTCGACGTTTTAAAGGTTTCTGAACATTTTGGCACACCCCAGAAAAAATGGATGTGTGTGTGTGTATATATATATGTATGGATACAATTTTTCGTCTACGTTTTCAGGCGCACGGATCAACGGATTTGAATGGTTCGATTTGAAGTTTGAAACATTCGATTAATAAGGAGATGTGCTGATTAGCTTTTGGCAAAGGCAGGTCCAGCCGTTTCAGAGATACGAAGCAAAGAGCGCAGAAAATAAAAATCGAGTTTTTGAGAGATCGGAGCATCCTATTTGTATGATTCAAAAAACTTTCAGCTTGTGTTGACAAAACAATTGCTCTTGGAGTAAAAAAATTTCATTCATTTTTTTCTTTTTCAGTAGATCGAAAATAATTCAGATTTCAATTTTAATTCTAGCTAAAGTTTTAAAGCTCATTTATATACTTTAAATGAATATTTTTGACTATGTGATTCAGTCAAGTTATAGTAATCGCAAAAAAAATCGAAAATAAAACTTTTTATATATCTATCTTTACGTTTCAAAGGTTTCTGAATATTTTGGCATACCTTAGAAAAAATGGATGTATATGTGTGTGTGTATGATCTATAAGACTATGGTATCTACCGTCAAAAAAAAAAAAAAAATCGTCAAATTTTTTTTTTAACTTTATTACAAGAAAACGATCCGGCCGATCTCTACCGAAAACTAATCAGCACGACACCCAACCAACATCTTTCGAACAGTTTTTGAATTCTCAAAATCAATTCAGAATTCCGGGCTAAATGTGGACGAAAAGTTTTCATTTTTCTGCGATTTACAAAAAACGGCTCGGCCGATTGTTGCATAAAACTGACAAACGCTAGTCCGCATCGAAATACAGCGAATGGTTTTTAAATTTTTGAAATCAGTCCAGCCGTTTTTTGAGAAAACGTCGATTTACGGCAAAAATCTGTGCACACACACATACACACACACATACTTTTTCCAAATTTGGTCTCATTCGATTCAGAACGGCGTGAAACGTTGAGAAAACATAAAATTAGCAAATCGGATTTTTTGATGAAAACATAAACTTCTCCTTCGGCAAGTTAATAATTAGTACTACGAATAAAATTTATATAAATATTTTTTCTGCTTTAAAAAATATTTAATATACACTATTTTTATCGTCAGTTTGTACAAATTGAATTCTGAACTAATGGCGCGCATGGCGTCGTGCCTTAAGGCAAATTGCTGGAACTTCCCGTACCAAAAATTATTATTTTTTAAAAAACGACTAAGATTTTTGAAAAAATACTACTTCAAAAAAATTAGATTTTTGAGAAATTATAAAAATTTGACAAAAAATTTCTTTTTTTTTCGAAAAAAATGTTTTCTTTATTTTGACAAATTTTGGAAATTTTGAACTTTTTTCCAAAGCAATCGTACTGCTTTAACAGCATAGAGACGAAATATCGAAGCGCGTAAGCGCCGCGTTGCCGTCTAACGGATAAACATTGGTACGGAACCCATAGGAATGTAAATAAAATTTATACTTATTGTTAAAATCTCTATAAAATATCTGATAATTTGATGTGCATATGTCTAATGATCATTTTTGACCGCCAAATTGCATTTTTTTTACTTTTTTCATTAGATCTCCAAAACCGCTAGACCTGCCTTCATGAAAATTTGATCAGTTCTTCATCTTGTTAATACAAGTAAAATGTTTTTTGAATTATTCAAATCGAATGCTCCGTTCTCTTAAAAACTGAGTTTGGCACTTTTTGCCCCGTATCTTCGGAACGGCTACACCTGCCTTCGCCAAAAACTAATCAGCACGTCCTCTTATCAATACAAATCGAATGCCTTTTTAATTATTCAAATCGGTTGATCGGTGTTCCCGAAATCGTCGACGAAAATTTGTATCCGCACGCACACACACGCACACACACATTCATCCATTTTTTTCTAAATATTCAGAAACCTTTGAAACGTAAAGACATAGATAAACAAGTATAAAGATATATAAAAATTTTCATTTTCGATTTTTTGCGATTACTATAATAACTTGCCTTACGGGAAGTTAAAAAGTTATATTCTGTGTTGCAGTTATTAAGACTTGTCCAAGGCCTTTATGATAGCATATCTCTTATGAAATTATCTTGAACTAGAATTAAAATTAAAATTCGAATTATTTTTGATCTACAAAAAAAAATGTAAAAAAAAAAAAATTTGAAATAAAAAAACCCTTTTTCCCAAATGCAATTGTTTCGTCAATACAAGCAAAAAATTTTTTGAATCATTCAAATCGGATGCTCCGTTCTCTCAAAATCTAGCATTTTTTGCACATATCTCCAAAACGGCTCCATCTGTCTTTGCCAAAAACTAATCACCACTTCTCCTCATCATTACAAATTGAATGCTTCTTAGATCATTTAAGTCGGAATCTCCGTTCTTTCAAAAACCCGATTTCTATTTGGGGAGATGTGCTGATTAGTTTTTGGCAAAGGCAGCTCCAGTCGTTTCGGTGATGCGGAGCAAAGAATGCAGAAAATAGAAATCGAGTTTCTGAGAGAAGCGACCATCCGATTTGAATGATTCAAAAAACATTCAGTGGTGATGAAGTCTTTGGCATAAGCAGGTTCAGCCGTTTCGGAGATACGCAGCTAAATGTGCAAAAAATGGCAGTTTTTGAGAGAAATAAGCATGCGATTTGAATGATTCAAAAAACTTTCCGCTTGTGTTGACGAAACGATTGTTTTTGAAAAAGATTTTTTTTTTGGTTGAAAATTTTTTTAAGTACCAAAAAAATGATATTTTTGATTATGGAAAATAATTCGGATTATCATCAAAATTTTAATTTGGTACGGAAAGTTGCAGCAATTTGAATCCACCAGTTGAAATGTGTTTAGGATTTTGCTCAAAAAATTTTGTTCTATTCTACTAATGGATCAGTATAAAGTGGCATTAATGGATCAAAAATTGTAATTTATTTTGTTTGAAATATTACAACTGAGTACTGTTTAATAAGAAAAATGCAATTTAATAAAATTTGTAAAAATATCTGTAAATCATACACAAAATATAAAGAAAATATTTATATAAATTTAATCATAGTACTAAATATTTGAACAGTAGTAATAAAATTTACAATGCAAATAAAATATAAGTAATTCATAGATATTTCACATGGAGGGTTAGTTTCTGCTTGTCAATATTTCATTGACCTCCATCACGTTTTCTACTATGTACATTCAACTTGTGTCTCTTCAAGTTGCTCGATTGTGCAAATTCCTTATTGCATGTATCACATTTGAAAGGGCGTTCTCCTGTGTGAATACGCATGTGCCTATTCAAGTCACTCGATTGTGAGAATGGTTTACTGCATGTTTCACATTTGAAATGACACTCCTTGGTGTGAGTGATCATGTGTAATTTTACATAATGTTTCCGTATGAATGCCTGATTGCATATTTCACATTTGAAAGCGCGTTCTCCTGTGTGAATAATCATGTGCCTTTTCAAGTCACGCGATTGTGAGAATGTTTTACTGCATATTTCACATTTGAAGCGACGCTCTTCAGTGTGAGTAACCATGTGTGAACTCAGATTACCTTTTTGTGTGAATGCCTGATTGCATATTTTGCACTTGAAAGGGCGTTCTCCTGTATGAACACGCATATGTCTTGTCAAAGTGCCTTTTTCTTTGAACGTCATATGACAGATTGTGCATTCGATAGGACGTTCTGTACTATGAGAAGTCATGTGAAGTTGCAATTGTGATGAATATTTAAATGTCTTATCACATATATTGCATTTATAGTTGCCTTTTTTGTCATTTATAGGTGTGGGATCAACCATGTGCTCTTTTGAATAATTAGATTCTGAAAGTGATCTATTACGAATGTCATATTCATAACCGGGTGTCTCAATTACCTCCTGCTTGACTTCTTCCTCTATAGTCACTTCGGAATTCATAAATCTTTCCAGACAAGTTTCATCATCTTCTAAACATGCTTCAGACTTAACAATGCCTTCAAGATCAAATTCATTTTCAAGTTTAATGTCTTCTATTGAAAGTTCTAGTGGCTCAATTTTAATTTTCTTATCATTTGCAGACATAATCATTGCTTCCGACATTTTCACTGCGTATATTCAATAAATATCGGTTAGTACTACTTAATAATCTATTTTTAGAATTATCTCAAATAATATAATGAATTTAAATATACTTGAATTTGTTGTAGAAAATCTTCCACCTGTTTAAAATTATATTATCACTTTACTTTTTTTATTATATTGTTAGGGTTATAGTCGTTCAGAATTCAAGTTGACATATTGAGCATAGAGTATGTTTTGAAAAGACACGTTCAGAAGAATTAGTTTGGGGTTCTATTGTAGTCGCAAAATTGGCGCTACTGAGCCGATAAAAAGGTATTGTCAAATGTTTAGGGGGCGTCCATTAATCACGTGAGCGAGTTTTTAAGGATTTTTGGACTCCTCCTCCCCCTTGGTGATACATGGTGATATTCAAAATTAGCCCCCTAAAATCTCAGAATTATATGTTTTTTTAATTTTTTAAATGTTTAGATTTTTTTTTTTAATTCAAGAAAAAAACTAGTGGGGTGGGTGGCATCGTGCCTTAAAGCAAATTGCTGGTACTTCCCGTACCGTAACGAAATGTTCGAGGAATACTGAATGTTTTCAAATAAATTATCATAAATATTGTAACATTGTCTAATATTTATATGAATTATATAAACTGAATTGCAATGTTGAAATTATTTAAAGTATATTAGAACTATGGTCAGAATTAAAATTAAAATCTGAATTATTTTCGATATACAAAAAATTTATCTCAAAATAAAATCTAAAAATAAATCGCAAATATCGCTTATTTCTCTCAAAAACTGCCATTTTTACATATTTAGCTCCGTATCTTCGAAATGGCTGAGCCTACCTTTGCCAAAAACTAATAAACACTTCTCCCAATTATTACTCATTGAATGTTTTTTAGATCATTCAAATCGGATACTCCGTTCTCTCAAAAAGTCGATTTCTATTTTCTGCACTCTTTGCTCCGTATCCCCGAAACGGCTGGACCTACCCTTGCCAAAAACTAATCAGCTCTTTTCTCTATCGATAGGAATCGAATGTTTTTGGAACCATTCAAATCGGTTGATCCGTGCGCCCGAAAACGTGACTGGAAATTTGTATCCAAACATACATACACACACACACATCCATTTTTTCTGAGGTATGCAAAAATGTTCAGAAACCTTCAAAACGTCGAGAAATGTAAAAATTTTCAATTCCGATTTTCGGCCCATTACAATAACTTACCCTACGGGAAGTTAATAAATACACATGATATCTTCCCCCTAAAAACCTCACGTGATTTTAATAAAAATAATTATTATATATTTATATAATAGATTTTTTTTGAAAATGTTTGGATTTTTTTTTAAATTGGGTTAAAAAAAAATATACGTGATATCTTACTATACTCTTCCCTTCCCCATGTAATATTTCGTGACATTTTGTCAACCCCCCGCCCTCACCCCACGTAATTTTAATAATAATTATTATTATTATATTATATATTTATATATGAGATTTTTTTTTAAGTCAAACTTCTTTAGACGCTACTAGGGTGTAAATCCGTACAAATGCAACGGAAGTCCGTTACGCCCGAACTGTTCGTCATTCGCTCTCGATGAGATCATTTCTATACGGGTCGACTGTGATTAGTCGTCGTGTATGTGAATAGAGATCTGTCGTTGTATGCGTACCGGCATCAACGCTGTATGCGCACCGATATCAACAAGGAAATTGGCATAGATAAATAAACATTTTGAAGTTACGTCGTAGTACAAATCTTGATTTAATGAAAAATGCCTGTACCACAAGAATATTTTGCCGTGTTCCTTGAAAATAATAAAACAAATTAAACATTTGTGCCATGCACTAAATGTAAGTTTATTGATTAAAAATTATTTTTATATTATTCGTAGTTTCTATAAATCTTTCGAATTATTAAAATGGAAAACATTTTTTGGACAAGACAGATATTACAGCTGTTCAAGGAATGAGATTATATCGCCAGCAAAAAAGTAAAAAAAAAATACAAGCAGTCAATGAATGTATGTTAATTTTAATTACATGAAGTTCTTCAAAAACAATTACATGATGAGTGAAGTTGCGAAAACAATATTTGTTTAGCTGTTGTTTAATATAATCCACTGTGTGAATGATTATTATAGAATTTATCAATCAGCAATTACTTCATTTCTCTAATGAAAGTTCAAGTCCTAAATGCTAATTACAATGACAAACCGATCAGTCATATTTGAAGTATGTCTTTAATTACATTATTGTTTTTAAATATTATACATATTTTTAATACTATTATAAATATATAATTTATAATTTATCATTATATAAATGTGTATAAAGGTTGACACTAATAAATGTGTGCATCACAAATGTTACCATATTACTAATAATTATTATTCAAAATTGTTAAATGATGTATTTATTTTTACTTAAATGCCATCTTGTACATTAGCAAATAAGTTTACTTTAATCGCATTTGAACCTTAAGCGCACTGTTTTTTTGAAAATGTTTAGATTTTTTTAAAAAAAATTCAGGTAAAAAATACACTCCTCCCTTCTCCATGTGATTTTTTGTGTTTTTTTGTCAATGGATGCACCCTTACAGCCCCACTAGTTTCTGCTTATTAATATTTCATTGATCTGCATCCTGTTTCCTAATATGCAACCGTGTCATGTGGTTCTTCAAATTGCATTCCTGTGTAAAACTTTTATTGCATATATCACATTTATAAGGGCGCTCCCCAGAATGAACAAGCATGTGTGTTTGCAGATCGCTCGGTCCTGTGAATGTTTTGTTGCAAATTTTGCATTCATGAGGGTGTAGTATTTCGCAGTGTTTCTTCAAGAAACGGACTTTCTTAAAATCCTTGTTGCATATAACACATTTAAAAGGGCGCTCTCCTGTATGAGTACGCTTGTGTGCGTTCAAGTTGCCCACTTGTGCAAAACCCAGATTGCATATATCACATTTATAAGGGCGCTCTCCAGTATGGATAAGCATGTGGGTTTTTAGGTAGCTCGGTTTTTTTATTATTTTTTTGCATATTGTGCATTCACGGGAGAGTTCTATATGAGTGGACATGTGGCTTTTTAGAATGAGCAATTGTGTGAAGCCTTTAGTGCATATGTCACATTTGAAAGGGCGTTCTTCTGTATGAATACGCATGTGACTTCTTAGAGCACTTGGATGCACAAAAGTGTCTCCACATGAATTGCATGCATAGGAACGTTCTCCTGTATGTTTGAGCATGTGTTTTGCTAAATCACTTTTTTGACAGCATGCCTTATTGCATATTTCACATTTAAAAGGACATTCTTCAGAATGTATGATCATGTGCAACTTTAACCCTTTTGATAGTTTGAACGTCTTAAGACATATTTGGCATTTGAAAGGTCGTTCTGTCTTATGAGTAATAATGTGTTTTTCCAAAAGTGATAATTGTTTAAATGTCTTAAGGCATATATCACACCTATGGGAGCCTTCTTTGCTAGCACTTGGCGTGTGATTGATCATATGCTCTGTTAAATAATGCGATTCTGCAAATGATCTATCACAAATAATACATTTAAAAGGAGGCACCTGTATTATTATTGACTCTTGTTTGACTTCTTCCTCTATTGTTACATCGGAATTCATGAATCTTTCCAGACAGATTTCATCATCTCCTGAACACGATTCAGGCTTAACAATATCCTCAACTTCATCAAGCTCATCCTTAATTTCAACCTGAATCTCTTCTATTGAATATTCTGGTGGTTCAATTTTAATTTTCTGATCATTTATAGGCATAATTGTTGCTTCCGACATTTTTATATATTTTCACTGTGTATATTTAACAAATGTTAAATAGAATTAACAGGTACCAATTAAATTATTTAATAAATTATTTATACAAATATCTTAAAATTAATTATGAATTTAACTAAATTTAACTTTAGTCGTCTGACATTTGAAGCAAAGAGTATGTTTTTAGGTTTTCAGAGAGACAAGACACTCTTCTAAAATTTAGAATCTAACTTCACAACAGTTCTATATTCATCAACTGTCAACACCAAAAACGACCTTTTCAATTTTTTTAACTTCATAAAAAATCCCGCTAAAAGCTAATTTTATGTTTTCTCGACGTTTCAAGCCATTCTGAATCGAATGAGACCATATTTAGAAAAAGTATGTGTGTGTGTGTGTGTTATCAGATTTTTTTGCCGTCAATCGACCTTTTCTCAAAAACGGCTTGACCAATTGCAAAAATTTAAAAGCCATTCGATGAATCTCGATGAGGACTATTATTTGTCAGTTTTGTGCGATGATCGGCCAAGCTGTTTCTTTATAAATAGCAGAAAAGTGAAAAATTTTTCAGCTCACAATTCTGAATCAATTTTGAAAATTCAAGCACCGATTACTTTGTGATATACAGTTTATATGTAAAATATGCCTGATGGTACAGCAATTAATTGACTTTTCATAGTTTTTACTACCAAGAAAGAAGAATTAGATATTGTTGCTATAACAACCGTACAATTAGCCTCATAGAAAAATAAATACAAAAAAAGAGTGCAAAAAAGAGTTGTAGAATATGTCATTTAAGTAAAATAAATACATGTAACAATTTTGAATAATGTTACTTTTTAATATTGTAACACTCGTGATCCACACATTTTTTAATGTCTATCATTATACATATTTATATAATGAATTGTAAATTATATATTAATAATAGCATTAAAAATATGTAATATATATTTAAAAACAATAATGTAATTAAATAATGTCATACTTCAAATACGACATGATCGGTTTGTCATTGTAGCATTAGCATTTAGGACTTGAACCTTCACTAGACAAATGAAGTAATTGCTGAATAATAATAATTCTATAATATTCATTCACACAGTGGATTGTGTTAAATAACGCTTAAACAAATATTGTTTTCACAATTTCACACATTATGTAATAATTGTGTTTGAAGAACTTCATGTAATTAAAATTAACATACATTCATTGATTGTTTGTTTTTTCTTCACTTTTTCGCTGGCGATACAGTCTCATTCTTTGAGTAGCTGTAATATCCATCTTGCCTAAAAAATTCATTTCTAAAAATATATAGTAACCACGAATAATACAAATTATTTCAATAAACTTCCGTTTCTTACACAGCACGGATTTTTCATTTGTTTTTTTTATTTTCGCTATAATTATTTACTGAAGACGGGATAAATTATTCTACCAATTCAAAGATGTTTTATTAAATCAAGATTTCTACTAGGACCAGGGCTGGATAAAAAGTTTGGGGGCATTGCACTCATTACGGCACGAATCATTGGCACTCGACTCGGCCGTAACGCTCTTCCGTTGCATTTGCACTGATTTACACCCTAGTCGTGCCTAAAGGAGTTTTACTAAGAATATTGAATAATTGAAGAACAAAAATAGTAATGTTTTGAATAAAACAAAAAAAAAATAGCATTTGTACTATGTATTGATATTTTTAAACAATAACATACAAGGCACTGGTTAGGAGTAACAACCATAGTTGTAACTGAAATATATATTAAATAAATTGCATTTAATATCCTGTGTATCAATATAAGTTGTGTTATGGATAAGGATTATTAGGTCGGGCTGTTTCTAGACTGATTCAACAGTTGACTTTTTAATTCCAGTTTGTTCTCTAGTATGTTTTCTTTCATGTCGCATTAATATAGGTTTTGTTTTGAACGTTTTATTGCATATGTCACATAGATAAGGTCGTTCTTCACTATGCACTGATAAATGCGTTATTAAATTACCTGAATGTGAAAATGTTTTATTGCATATTTTGCACTCATATGGTCGTTCTCCAGTATGTACTGTTTTATGTTGCATTAATATAGGTTTTGTTCTGAATGTTTTATTACATATTTCACATGCATAAGGTCGTTCTTCAGTATGCACTGATAAATGCTCTCTTAAAATACTCGACCGTAAAAATCTTTTATTGCATATGTTGCACTCATGAGGCCTTTCTTCAGTGTGACTGATTTCATGTTGTTTTAAATTATTTTTTGTTTTGAATGTTTTATTGCATGTCTCACATTCATAAGGTCGTTCTTCACTATGCACTGATAAATGTGTTACTAAATTACCTATATTTGAAAATGTTTTATTGCATATTTTGCACTCATTACAGCGTTCTCCAGTATGTACTGTTTTATGTTGCATTAATATAGGTTTTGTTCTAAATGTTTTATTACATATTTCACTTGCGTAAGGTCGTTCTTCAGTATGCACTGATAAATGCTCTCTTAAAATACTTGGCCGTGAAAATCTTTTATTGCATATGTTGCACTCATGAGGCCTTTCTTCAGTGTGAATGATTTCATGTTGTTTTAAATTATTTTTTGTTTTGAATGTTTTATTGCATGTCTCACATTCATAAGGTCGTTCTTCACTATGCACTGATAAATGTGTTACTAAATTACCTATATTTGAAAATGTTTTATTGCATATTTTGCACTCATTACAGCGTTCTCCAGTATGTACTGTTTTATGTTGCATTAATATAGGTTTTGTTCTAAATGTTTTATTACATATTTCACATGCGTAAGGTCGTTCTTCAGTATGCACTGATAAATGCTCTCTTAAAATACTTGGCCGTGAAAATCTTTTATTGCATATGTTGCACTCATGAGGCCTTTCTTCAGTGTGAATCATTTCATGTTGTTTTAAATTATTTTTTCTTTTAAATGTTTTATTGCATGTCTCACATTCATAAGGTCGTTCTTCACTATGCACTGATAAATGTGCTATTAAATTACCTATATTTGAAAATGTTTTATTGCATATTTTGCACTCATTACAGCGTTCTCCAGTATGTACTGTTTTATGTTGCATTAATATAGGTTTTGTTCTGAATGTTTTATTACATATTTCACATGCGTAAGGTCGTTCTTCAGTATGCACTGATAAATGCTCTCTTAAAATACTTGGCCGTGAAAATCTTTTATTGCATATGTTGCACTCATGAGGCCTTTCTTCAGTGTGAATCATTTCATGTTGTTTTAAATTATTTTTTCTTTTAAATGTTTTATTGCATATTTTGCACTCATTACGGCGTTCTCCAGAATGGACGGCTTTATGTTGTTTTAACATTTTTTTCATTCTGAATGTTTTATTACATATTTCACATGCGTAAGGACGTTCACCTGTATGCACTGATAAATGCTGTCTTAAATTACTTGACTGTGAAAATCTTTTATTGCATATTTTGCACTCATAAGGCCGCTCTCCAGTATGGATCCTTTCATGTTTTTTTAAGTTACCTTTTTCTACAAATGTTTTACTGCATGATTTACATTTGTATTTCAACTTACTAGTTGTCTTATCTTTTCCTGAAACTTTGTCAAATGTTTTGTTTGTACTATCGACTATCGTACTTGATTCACTGATCTCTTCGTTACATAGGGAAGAATTTTCATCTAATACAGTTTTGTTTGTACTAGTCACGTCATATTGGTCATCAATCGTCTCTTGTTTTATTTCCCCGTCAATTGTAACCTCAGATTTTAGAAATTGCTGCAGACATATATCATCATTATCCGTATACAAATCGGATGTATTTTCATAATCATCAAATTCCTGCTTCACTTGAGGATAATCATCGATCGGTTCCGTTTTAATTGTTTTGTTTAAATTTGTTTCTTCAAACATGTTTGGAGTTTGTAGGTTATAATAAACAAACTGGTGATAAGTTCTTAAAAATTGGGAAGTCTAAGTGTATAATAATATATGTGTTACAATATTTACTAATTCGTTTATTGTTTAATATGATATAATGCTAACACTGACCTTTTTACTAAATTTATCTTCGAATTTAACTTTAATAATTCCATAAACCACTTTGACATTTCTCCTCCATTTTGCATTTATAAACAACAGATCAAGCTGAAGTTAAACACAAATCAGCTGTGTGTTTTTCGGCGGCAAAATTTGAAATCCGAAATTATTATTAGCTCAAACTACAAATTGCAATCTAAAAATCCATCATTAACAAATAAAAAAACTAATTGGGAATTATTTTCTAAATATATTGATGACAATTTATGCTGCAAAGTACCTCTAAAAAGTACAGATTATATTGATAATGCAATAGGTCATAGGTGGGGAACCTGCGGCCTCCGGGAGGTTCTTGTGCGGCCCCTTCCGTCTAGTACGGCCATGTCCAACCTGCGGCCCGCGGGCCGCATGCGGCCCGATGGCGATTTTTGTGCGGCCCCATGACAAACAACAATCGCACAAATTATTATTTTCAATTTGAATAAATAAAATAATTTTTGTAAAGGCTAATATAGAAGTCTGAACACTACTTCAACCGAAAGTAATGGTCATTAATCGAATGAATAGATGGCGATATGATACTCTATGGATAGCGCTTGACAGATAACGACAAATAATTGTCAACGCAACGGACAACGGGAGCCTAGCGGCTCTATGGACAAGTGGGCAACACTAGTTCACGAGTCATTCAGCAGTCTATAAGTCCATATGATTGTAATCGTGGGGAGTTATTTTCAAAAAAATGTTCATATTACGATTATTTTAAAATAAAGAATGTTCAAACAGTTTTAAAATACAAAAAAAAATTTTTTTCAAAAAGTCCACTTTTTTCAATTATTTCAAGATTCTCAAAAATCTAATTTTATCAAAGTTTTCAAAAATATTAAAGCTTTTAAAAGTTTGGAATTACGGTACGACAAGTTCCATCAAATTGCCTTAAGGCGCGATGCCATGCACCACTAGTTTTCCAGATTTGTTGCGGCCCAGTGCCTTGTATATTCCTAAATTTTGGCCCAAAGAGTAATTTAGGTTGGACATCGCTGGTCTAGTACAAAATAGCAGAGTTACTTTCAAACAATTATTGTACATCAACGTTATGACAGTTCCGCCAAAAATCTCACCAAAAACAGTCATATTGTAACATGACATCAGATTACTAGCCTGAAACACAGACTCTTAGGCAGATACAAAATAGAGATGTAATATATTACATCTTTCGATTTCGCAAGGCATCGCCTTTTATATGATTCAAGAAGTATTATAAAAAAATTAACACTGCAAAAGAATCGTTGAAGATTTTTATGCGTATCCGTAATAAAATGATAAAAATTTATACTTCTCGCAACCAAAAGCAAATCCGCAGCTTTGGCGGAGATCGGAGCAACCAGATTTTATCTACATATATTGGAAAGAGTTAACGTTGCGTTTAATGCATTAATCCTTTTTTTGTTATGATAACTATATTGTCATTCGAATACTCTTACTTCGGAACTTCCATTATTTGTATTTAATAGACAAAATATAAGAGCTTATGAATTGGACCATGACGTTTATAAAAGTTTACATGAAAAATAATTAAACAGAGTTTAATAAGGGGAGTTAGATTGAAGGATCTGTTCTCATATTACTAATAGTAAGAATGTTATAAACCAAACAGCAAAGTTAAAATAATCTATCTCAAATAAATTTAAAATTAAAATTTGAATGATTATTGATATTCAAAGAATATAGTTCCCCAAAATTAAAAAAATAATGTACATTTTTTTTTGTTTTTCCCAAAAATAATTGTTCCGTCAATACAAGCAAAAGGGTTTTTGAATCATTCAAATCAGATATTTCGTTCTCTCAAAAACTGCAATTTTTTGCACATTTACCTCGGTATCTCCAAAACGGCTGGGCCTGCCTTTGCCAAAAACGAATCACCACTTCTACCCGTCATGGTCATGAACAGACAAATCACTTAAGTAGGACTCCATATGTTTATTTTTTAAATCAAAATTGTTTAAGTTACTTTATAGCTTTACTCAGTTTAGCTTTGTCATCCGGAAATTGAGTATTTTGCCACTTTTGCCAGTTTTCTTTTACAGGCTATGAGTCTTTAAGCTTCGAGTGGACAGAAAAATCGCTCAACAATATCATTTGTGGGTGTTGAATTGCGAGCCGCATCAGTGATATTTTTATTGAGAATACCTATTCAGAGGTGGGGAACCTTTTTGCCATTAGAGGCCGCACTTAAATTAGGCAGCAATGAAAGAGGCCGCATAAGCTGATTGACCTAAAAAAGTGACTTATGTGAAATTACTAACTTCCCGAAGGAGAAGTTAATCTTTTCATCAAAAAATCCGATTCGCTAATTTTATGTTTTCTCGACGTTTCAAGCCATTCTGAATCGAATGAGACCAAATTTGGAAAAAGTATGTGTATGTGTGTGTGTGAGTGTGAACAGATTTTTTGCCGTAAATCGACGTTTTCTCCAAAACGGATGGACCGATTTCAAAAATTTAAAAGCCATTCGATGTATCTCGATAAGGACTAGCGTTTCTGAGTTTCGTGCGACGATCGGCTGGGCCGTTTCTTTCTAAATTGCAGAAAAGTGAAAAAATTTTTGTCCACGTTTTAGCCCGCAATTCTGAATCGATTTTCAAAATTCAAAAAACCGTTCGATAGATATTGGTTGGAATCGTGCTGATTAGTTTTTGGTAAAGATCGGCCGGGCCGTTTTCTTGTAATGAAGTTTTTTTAAAAAAAAATTCGACGATTTTTATATTATTTTTTGACGGTAGATGCCATAGTCTTCTAGATCATACTAAACTATTACGGCCCCACGACAACTCGTTTAGCTTTAAAAATTCGTCAAAGTTTGCAGAAATTAGTATGGTCTTTTGGCATTTGTCAAAATTAGAACTTCCATCGAGGTTTGCTCCAAACGCCTGAACCGATTGCAGAAATTTAAAAACCATTTGATGTATCTCGATGAGGATTATCGTTTCTCAGTTTTATGCGACGATCGGCCGAGCCGTTTCTTAGTAATTTGGAAAAAAGTGTTAAACTTTTGGTCCACATTTGTGCTGATACTACCGAATCGATATTAAAAAATCAAAAATTGTTCGAAAGATATTAGTTGGGAATGATACTCATTAGTTTTAGGTGAAAATCTACTGAGTCGTTTTCTTGTAATTAACTGTTGAAAAAAAATTAAGCCGATTTTTGGCGTTATATATCATGGTCTTATTGAACTTACTGAAATATTATTGCCTTACGACAAGTAGTTTAGTTTTAAAAATTTAGGAAAGTTTGAGAAAATGAGTAGCTCTTTTGACATTTGTTACTTGGTATAACGATAGAGTATCTTGTCTTAATGAACATGATACACAATTAAAGTCCTACAAAAAACTGGCTCAATTGTAAAAATTATTGATTTTGAAAATTTGCTTTTAAAAAACACTCCGACCGGGTGACTTGTTCGATTTTCAAAAAATTCACTTTGAATACTTTTAACAACTCATAAATTAATTTATCTATCATGGATTAAGTCGATTATTTACAGAAATCGGGAAGTTCATGTAACTTGCCTCAAGGCAAATACTAATACCAACTAGTTTGGCTTTGGCTTTTGCTTGGCAAATGAGCAATTTATGACAAAATGACCAATAAATGTCGAGATGTAAATTTCTGGGTGTCGAAGGAAATCGAACTGAATTTCATTCATTTTTTTAAAGATTGGAAAAAAAGTTGGTATGTTTCTAACGTATGTAATGAGATAAAATCTACTTCGTTTCGATAAAATCGAATTTTAGTTCGTTTTAATTTTATTTAAACATTCATTTTTTATATAAAAATGATATTAAAGTCTTTTGATTTGAATTTGATTTTCATATTCTTATTGTTACATAATTATTTGAAATAAAAAATTATATATTTTCTTATACGATTGAACTCACTGATAGATTTTTATTTTGCAAACTAAGGTGTAAAGGTTAATTTAGAGAATTTCGGGCTCTGAAAAAACCAGATTAAATTCATTTGTGAACTTTCGGTATGAATATTCCTACTTGTTGTCATTCATGACAATATAGTTATCATAACAAAAAAAGGATTAATGCATTAAACGCAACGTTAACTCTTTCCAATATATGTAGATAAAATCTGGTTGCTCCGATCTCCGCCAAAGCTGCGGATTTGCTTTTGGTTGCGAGAAGTATAAATTTTTATCATTTTATTACGGATACGCATAAAAATCTTCAACGATTCTTTTGCAGTGTTAATTTTTATAATACTTCTTGAATCATATAAAAGGCGATGCCTTGCGAAATCGAAAGATGTAATATATTACATCTCTATTTTGTATCTGCCTAAGAGTCTGTGTTTCAGGCTAGTAATCTGATGTCATGTTACAATATGACTGTTTTTGGTGAGATTTTTGGCGGAACTGTCATAACGTGATGTACAATAATTGTTTGAAAGTAACTCTGCTATTTTGTACTAGACCAGCGATGTCCAACCTAAATTACTCTTTGGGCCAAAATTTAGGAATATACAAGGCACTGGGCCGCAACAAATCTGGAAAACTAGTGGTGCATGGCATCGCGCCTTAAGGCAATTTGATGGAACTTGTCGTACCGTAATTCCAAACTTTTAAAAGCTTTAATATTTTTGAAAACTTTGATAAAATTAGATTTTTGAGAATCTTGAAATAATTGAAAAAAGTGGACTTTTTTGAAAAAATTTTTTTTTGTATTTTAAAACTGTTGAACATTCTTTATTTTAAAATAATCGTAATATGAACATTTTTTGAAAATAACTCCCCACGATTACAATCATATGGACTTATAGACTGCTGAATGACTCGTGAACTAGTGTTGCCACTTGTCCATAGAGCCGCTAGGCTCCGTTGTCCGTTGCGTTGACAATTATTTGTCGTTATCTGTCAAGCGCTATCCATAGAGTATCATATCGCCATCTATTCATTCGATTAATGACCATTACTTTCGGTTGAAGTAGTGTTCAGACTTCTATATTAGCCTTTACAAAAATTATTTTATTTAT